CCCATATATTTAATTAGTCTCCTTTTGATCACTTAATTAATTCCAAATTAATTCTTGATCAATACTAATTAAATAACCTTATTAATATATTAGAACTTATAATATATTAACCAACCTTAAGTGTTATTTCTCTCATTATAGTCTATCCAAATGCATGATGTCATGCAACCCAAATGGACCATGTCGGGTCGGGTCAAGTCTTACCAATTATAGTTATGGACTTAGACATTAATCCAACAGTTACAACCCTTCTAACACCCAACTGAGTCCTTTTGACCCTCAACAGATATGGGACTCAAGCCTTGGACTCGTCGAGTCCCAAGAACGGACTCGCCGAGTCGATGACATCCACACACTAAATCCTCGATTTCTGAGGTACAACACTTGACCAAAAGGTAGATCTGGGCTCCTACAATCGTTCTAGCACGTAAAGTTACAAACTTTACGTGCATGCATGGGACTTTGAGTCCGAAAGGTCCTACAACAAGCTCTTGGGTTGCATGGAGTCTTTCTTGGGCGTAAAAGCACCCACTTTCTGCCTTGTGACCCCTTTAAGGACCTAGATCTGAAGCCTTGTCCCCAGCCACGCTTGCATTCATGGTTGGCTACCTAAAATGGCTTTAAAAAAAGACCTAAATCTCCACAAAATGGGATCTAGCAAATGAACAAGCAAGTTAGCAACTTTATACCTTCTGATGGCTGAAGATGAAGCACAAACTCGAACCCTTCTGGTCTCCTCTTGTTTCCTCAAGCCTTTCTCCTTCCTTCTTAAGACTATCAACACCAAAATCCACCAAAATGGCTTAGATTGCTTCAACAACGGCTAGGGTTTTCTATAGAGGGTTTTTGGGAGCATAAAGGGGCGATGGAGGCTGTATAAGGTTGTTTAAATAGGGTGCAACCCTCATATTAGGGTTTTGTCCATACAGAGCCTACTCGTCGAGTCCGGGACCCGACTCGACGAGGCCATCACTTAAATCCCGCGTCCCATCCCGCTTCTACTCGGCGAGTTGGTCCTTCAACTCGCCGAGTCCAAGGCCAAAAATGCAAAAGTACTTAAATAAAATACATACCAGGAACTAGGTGCTACAATTGAACAGGAAAGTCCCACACTATCACAAACAAATAGCCCTAATCAGAATTAGGTCATAAACCCAAATCATGGGCCTAAACCATAAGTCCAAACTCCTAAGATAAGGGCCCATTTGCCTTTCCCAAAATGGGCCTAACCATTCTTGGACCAAACGAACATAACAGGCTCCAAGGCCCCAAAAGGCCCAACTACACCACTTAAGGCCCATTAGCAGAAGTCAAAGGCCCACCTACTCTAAGCAGAACAAAGCCCAAAACCAACTAAGGCCTAATGATCCAAAAGCCCAACAAAAGTCCAAAAGCCCATTGGGGCCCACCTACTCTAAGCAGAACAAAGCCCAAAACCAACTAAGGCCCAATGATCCAAAAGCCCAACAAAAGTCTAAAAGCCCATTGGGGCGTACGCGCTGCGTAATCTCAGTACGCTCGGCGTACTCGATTGCCATGCAGTACGCGCTGTGTACATCTTGGTATGCTCAGCGTATTGAGCTGCTCAACACCTTTAGCCATTTGGTGCTTAATCCATGCAGCCACTTAATCTAACTTCCAGATCTCGGTCATTAAGGGGGTCCTAGGGCATAAAGTTGGCAACTTTATGCCTTAGCATGTCTTATGGGAGTCCAACATCCATTTTTGTTCATCAAGGCTCACATTAAGGACCTACATCCATGCATGGTTTCATATCAACCACCAAGATAACATTTTTTATGCTTCTAACACATCATAGGGGCTAAGATCTAGCATTTCTAGCTTCTAGAGTTGCCCAAACTCCCAAAAGAGAATCCATGGACCCAAAATGAGCTTATAAACAAACCCTAACTCTAACTATTAAAAGGATCAACAAGGTATGAGCTTTTTACCTTCAAAAGCTTCCTAAGATGATGTAGTTTCAGGATCTTGAAGCGCAACCACGTCTAAAGCTTGATCACCAAGTTCTTCTTCTTGCAAACACACCAAAAAGGCCACTAAAGTTACTTCCAAGCTCAAATATCACTCTCAAAGGCAAACTAGGGTTTTAGGGACGTTAAAAAGCATTGGAGGATGATAAGGGTGAGGGTCTACAGGTCATAAATATGTTTAAATAGGGCTCATGCCCTAAAATTAGGGTTTTAACTTAGGCTACGTACACCTGCGTACGCTTCGTATGCCCCGCGTACGTGGCTCAGATTCCCGATCCAACATGCCCATGTACGCTAAGCGTACATAGACGTACGCCCAACACATGAAGGGGCCTCTTTCGTAATTATATTTTTATTTCAAGGACTTAAAAGGAAAATATCTACATTTGATTGTTACAAATCTCCCCCACCTAAATTAGACTCCGTCCTCAAAGTCTGTTGTTGTAAACAAATCCGGGTAGTGCTCCCTCATCTTGTCCTCCAGCTCCTACGTCCACTCAAGAGATCTTTCGGTGCTGCTATTTCACCTTCACTAGATTCACCACCTTGTTACATAGAGTTTTAGTTTTCCTGTCGAGAATTGCAATGGTCCTCTCCACATAATTTAGGCGTTCATCCACCTGAATATCATCCAACGATATCACAGCTGACTCATCAGCTACACACTCATCAGCTCATCAAGAAGATCCAACCGGTACGCTACCCTGCCTACCCGTTCAGTAATCCTGAAGGGACCGATAAACTCAAGGTCTGAAGGGCGTCGGTCAACATAACTCTTCTGAAGACTCTGCGCGACCCAAAGCCTGTCGCGCACATGGTGAATCAATTCGGTAGTTTTAAGCACCACCTCAGTGCTTCCCATGACCTGATCACCGAACTCCCCTTAACAAACTGGGGTCCTACACCTCGTTTCATACAACATATCAAAAGGAGGTCGATCAATACTAGGATGATAACTGTTGTTGTAGGATAACTTTGCCAACAGAAGGTAAGTATCCCAACTTCCTCCAAAATCCAATACGCAAGCCCGAAGCATATCCTCAAGTGTCTGGATCGTCCGCTCTCGGCAATCGGGATAAAATGTGCACTCTTGGTCAACCTGCCCACAATGGCCCAAATAAAATCAACACCCCACGCCGTCCTGGGCAATTTTGTGATGAAATCCATAATGATCTCCTCCCACTTCCACATAGGGATGGGTAATGGCTTTACATTGCCACGAGGTCTCTGATGTTCAGCTTTAACCTTTCTATAAGTCCAACACCGCTCAAAGAACCACACAACTTCCCTCTTCATACAGGGCCACCAATAACTCAACCTTAAATCTCGGTAGATCTTCGTGGCCCCCAGGTTGATAGAAAATTTTAATTGATGCACCTCCTCCAAAATCGTCTGTCTCGCTGCATCTGATGCCGGAACCCAAACCCGACCACACTATGTCAACAATCCCCGACTGTCTCTAACAAACAAAGGAACCTGCCCTCTAATCCACTCAGTCATCAAATTTTTTCTTTTTCAATCCTTCCACCTGAGCCTCCTTGATCAAATCCATCAAAGGTGAAGTGACAGTCATTCTCAAACAGGTATCTCGGATAGGCGACCTTGCCACCTTGCATCTCAGAACATCGGCCACTATATTGGCCTTTCCAGGGTGGTACAAGATCTCACAATCGTAATCCTTCACTACATCCAACCATCTCCGTTGCAGCATATTCAAAGGTCCATCAAATATCTTAAACTCTTGTGGCAGAGGTTAAATCTCAAGATCTCTACTTTTTTTCGAAATCTCAATGGAACCAATCATCTACAAAGGTTCTTTTGGTATTTAACCAAATAAATTAAGGATATTCACTTATATATATATATATATATATATATATATATATATATATATATATATATATATATATACCCTACAAGGTACATATGCCTAGGTATCTAAACACAGAATACTACGCCGTTTTGGTATCGTATATATGCATTATCATCTTCCAAAGTTGTTAAACTTCATCTCCTAACTTGATTTACTTTTAATATTTTCGAAATTTCACTATTATTTTCCTTTTTCATAACATCTTTTGGTCGAACATCTACCATGTATATATATATTATAGTTGCAAATGAAAATTATGTAAGAGGAAGATAATGATGAAATTCTAAAAATTTTGGAATTATATCAAGTTAGTAGTTGAATTTTAACAATTTTGGACGATTACAATTCATATATGATATAAAACAATGTACTATAATGTGTTTGGGTATATAAGCTTATATACCTTGTAAGTTATTCACTTTTTCATATATATATATATATATATATATATATATATATATATATATATATATATATATATATATATATATATATATATATATATATAGAGAGAGAGAGAGAGAGAGACTTTCTTTATTAATGGAAGGATGTCATTTACTTCGTCTTGTTGACTGTGATACTCATTGGTGAAATATGTAGTGTGTATCTTTTCTTTCTAATACTAATAGTATTGTTCATGCGTTAGATTTTTCGTTGCATCTTTTAGTATATTTCTTAAATAAGTGTACTTGTGGCAACAAAAATTATGGTACCTATTTTATCAATTAAGATATTGCAAATATGATACATTTTTTATTCAGAAACCAATTTTATAGGTTAATAAACCATCATTTTTTTATATACTTACTCATTGTTTTGACACAACTAACGCTAAATTCACCCCATTGTATTAAACCAATCATTTTTTACACGATATTACAAGTTAATTCTTTTTCTTTTACACCATTTAACAGTAAAATTGTTATGTTCATGACTGATTAGACTCTGTCATGGCCATTTTTTCTAGGCAACACTATCCATGCCCACCACCTCTAGGCTCTAGCAACAAACAGAGCCTTTTAACCACCACAACCACCCATCTCCACCATTAACTACCACCAAACTGATAGCTCATTAACATACATAGTTATTTTATTTTTATGCATTAACTTTTAACTTCATCTTTGTGTATGCAGCTTATTGTCTTATACATCAGTGGAACCATCAATACACATTTAACAAGTGAACACAAGAAAGAAATGAAGCGTTATATCTACAACCATCAAGTAAGACATTATATGTTGTTATTATTATATTTTGAATAATGGGTTTTGGGTATTTATATATCAAAAATATATTTTGGAAAAATATAGAAATCACATATACATAAAAATACACACACAGAATTATAAAAATTAAATAGATTGTTATAGCCAAGGAGGATGATATGAAAAAATGCTAATCGTTTTAATATGTTCTCATTAAAAGGAGGGATATTGACATAAAAGCCCCTAATTTTACACAAATAAACCGGTTATTGTGACATCCCCATTTTCACGGCCATAAAAGACCGATTTGTTTATGCTTTGTTTTAAAATCAGAGTAATCGTTTACAGAAAACAGTTGCGGAATTTGTTCCCAAAACAAAATGTGATAATAATTTATCAAAGCATTTCTTTAAAGAAATGTATTTTCATTAAATAACAAAATCTCGGGATGTCATGTTCCGATACAGACCAAAAGCATAAACAGTATAAAATAGACCTTACAACAATTATTTATAACTACTGATCTATAATCCAAAATCTCTCGTCAAGTCCACCAACTTATACTCTTGTGCCATTACCTGTAATGCAAAGAAAACTGAGTGGGTCAGTCTTGGGAGCCTGGTGAGCATATAGGGTTTTCAACCCACAATAATATAATTATTATATTTAATCATCAAACAATCAACCCAATTACTCATCCCCATTATCTTCTTTATTTCTTAAGGTTTTACCCTAAGAATCAACTATCCTTTATTCATTCGTTCCTAAGGATTGACCTAAGGAATTGGCACGAAGTCCATTGCTGCCAAAGTTTATCTATCAGGTACTAAGTCCATATCTATCAGGCGCTAACTCCATAGTCACCAAGGTTCACTTAACAGTAGGCGCTAACTCCATAGTCACCAAGGTTTACTTAACAGTAGACGCTAACTCCCTAGTCACCAAGGTTTACTTAACAATACTACATCCATAGCTATCATCGTCTATCTATCAGTACTAAATCCATAGCTACCAGCGTTCGTCTATACGGTACTAAATCCATAGCTACCAAGGTTCATCTATACAGTACTAAATCCATAGCTACCGAGGTTTGTCTTTACAGTACTAAATCCATAGCTACCAGCGTTCGTCTATACGGTACTAAATCCATAGCTACCAAGGTTCATCTATACAGTACTAAATCCATAGCTACCAGCGTTCGTCTATACGGTACTAAATCCATAGCTACCGAGGTTTATCTATACAGTACTAAATCCATAGCTACCAACGTTCGTCTATACGGTACTAAATCCATAGCTACCAAGGTTTATCTATACAGTACTAAATCCATAGCTACCAGCGTTCGTCTATACGGTACTAAATCCATAGCTACCGAGGTTTATCTATACAGTACTAAATCCATAGCTACCAGCGTTCGTCTATACGGTACTAAATCCATAGCTACCGAGGTTTATCTATACAGTACTAAATCCATAGCTACCAGCGTTCGTCTATACGGTACTAAATCCATAGCTACCGAGGTTTATCTATACAGTACTAAATCCATAGCTACCAGCGTTCGTCTATACGGTACTAAATCCATAGCTACCGAGGTTTATCTTTCGTCTCATCCTCAAACTCATCCTTCATCACACACCAACTATTTCGTCTACCCATGTTCTACCCAACATATTTGTAGATATAAAATACATATAAAGTTTAACTCATTTAAAACCTATATAAAACATCCATTCCACGCTTATCTCAAATAAACAACAATATATAAACACATAACACGTATTTCGTAGCAAATACTTAATACTTATATGTTAGAAGATATAATCCAGATCCACTAAGGGAATGAAGCAGATAATCCAGATCCACCAAGGGAATAGTCCTTTCTTCCATCTATTTCCACAAACAACGAATTGAACTAAACATTAATCAAATACGAAGCCAAATCAATTAGGAAAAGTTACTATAGATAGGAAGACTTACTATAGAATCGCGCAAGACGAAATATTGCCAAAAAATCTTTAAAGAAGAGAAAGCCGATGCCAAAAAACCAGTGCTTGACATAAAAACTCCTTAATATAGGCGAACCAACTACCGAAGAGAACAGATAGCTAAAGAAGACCAACTGCTAAAGAAGGGCTACATGTTGAAAAGAGCTATCTGCCAAAGAGATAAACAACTAAAGCACATCATCATTAAGCAAATATCACCAAGGTCATCACCAAAACCATCAACTCTATATTGAGCTATATGCCAATCATATGAACCAATAACTCCACCAGAAGTTACCATGATACTTATTTATAACATCATTATAAATTTTCATTATTTCATAAGCTTTTTGAGTTTAGTATTATTAGTTAATATTTCACTTGTTATGATTCAGCAAATATTATAATTTCTTTTTGGAGCTAGTATGGTAACAAATGTCCTTTTAATGTTTGTTAGAATAAAGATGGGGGATGGGGATTTCACATCGAGGGGCACAGCACCATGATGGGATCTGCATTGAACTATGTAGCACTACGACTATTAGGAGAAGGACCAGATGACGGAAATTGTGCAGTAAGCCGAGGCAGGAAGTGGATACTTGACCATGGGGGTGCAACCTGTATTCCTTCTTGGGGCAAAATTTATCTTTCTGTAAATATTTTGACTTTCTCATAGATAAATTAAAACGCATGAAAGAAAATTCAACTTTATGATTTTCAGCAAAACCCCTTACTGATATAATTAAACTAATTAAGATGTTTGTGTTAGGTGCTCGGAGTGTATGAATGGGACGGTTGCAACCCCCTACCACCAGAATTTTGGCTTTTCCCTGAAGCGTTTCCTTTTCATCCAGGTACATAGACTTCCACCTTTTAGGAACAAGAAACAAACCCATGATTCCATGAAATAAGATCTGAAAATTTAGTGAATTGAAATTGTCCAGTTGATCTAACCAAACTTGTTATAATATGTTGTAGCGAAAATGTGGTGCTATTGCCGAACAGCCTATATGCCCATGTCTTACTTGTATGGGAAAAGGTTCCATGGTCCGATCACTGAATTTGTTCTCCAGCTTCGAAAAGAGATGTATTCTATCCCATATGACGAAATAAATTGGAATAAACATCGCCATAATTGTTGCAAGGTTAGCTTCGTAAACAATAAATTTTTATAAGCATGTATGTATACAGTGAAATACGTTTAAGGAGATGATGTTTTTTGGTTATCACGACCAGTGATTTCCATTGAGCGCATCACAAAAGTTTAGAGCTTGATGAATTCATTACGAAATATACTTGTTGATAATGGAACACAGGAAGATCTCCTTTACCCTCATTCTACAGTCCAAGATCTTTTGTGGGATGGTCTTCATTACTTTGGTGAGCCGGTCTTTAAATATTGGCCTTTCAAGCAACTACGAGAAAGAGCTTTAAAAAGAACGATTGAGTTGATTCGTTATAGCGCCCAAGAAAGTAGATACATAACCACAGGAGCTATTGAAAAGGTAAACTATCAAGTCGGCTTAATATTTGATTATTCACTCGAACTCACGAGTTCAAGTCCATCATGCCCTAATTTACATTTCATATACTCTTACTAGTACTATACACAAACATTTTAGAGCTTATAAGCGGGTCCCACGTATTTATTTATTTGTTTAATATATAAATTTTATATCAAGTATTTAAAAGAAAAACAAAATATTATTTATCCATTTATTAAGATTTTGATAAAATATATTCAATTATTAGTTTTTATAAAAGATAAAAATAAAACTTATAATAAAAATGTTTATTGAAATATAATCAACCTCAGTTTAATTTTAAACGTATTAACTAACTTTATCAGCAATAGCTTTTGGCTTAACGGTACAATTAGATACCAACCTTTTAATTAAGAGGTCGATGGTTTGATTTTAAAAGTAGATCAAAGAATGTGTGTGTTGCGTTAAAAAAAACTTAATAACAATTAAGTTAATTTTTCTTTTTTGGTGATAAATATATAATTTTTTTCGATGACTATATATACTTGTTGGAGTGGTTGGAGATGTAAAGTACCTTAATCAGTCTATGCAATGTAATCAATTTGTCTTTGGTTTTGGATGCAGTCCTTGCAAATGATGGTTTGGTGGGCAGAGAACCCAAGTGGTGATGAGTTCAAGCACCACCTTGCTAGATTGCCTGATTACTTATGGCAAGCAGAAGATGGAATGAAGGTGATGCCGAGTGGTGGTCAATTATGGAATTGCGCGCTTTCAACTCAGGCAATAATTGCTAGTAATATGGTCGAAGAGTATGGGGAATCTCTGAAAAAGGCCCATTTCTTTATCAAAGAATCTCAGGTCAAAAATAATCCGGCTGGAGATTTTACTAAAAAGTGTCGGCAAGTTACTAAAGGGTCATGGACATTCGCCCAAGATGATGGATGGGCGGTCTCAGATTGCACATCCGAAGCACTGAAAGTAATACCATGATCTCATCTTATATGTTATTATTTTCTAAACCTTTGCAAAAATAATTTGTTCTCATATTGTGTATATATAAACCATCCATGCAGTGTCTTCTGTTACTATCTCAAATGCCAGTTGAAATTTCAGGCGAACAAGATGGTAACATTGAGCGATTATATGATGCTGTTAATTTCATCCTTTTTGTACAATCTCCTACCAGTGGAGGATTTGCTATCTGGGAGCAACCAGTCCCACAACCATATTTAGAGGTACATTACGTAAATGAAACTATTGACTTTTTTTTTTTAGAAATGAAATGTCATTAGTTTCTTTCTGAACTTTACAAACAAGCTAAGAGAAATTCTAACGTTTTCCTAATCACAGATGTTGAACCCTTCAGAGATGTTTGCCGACATTGTTGTTGAAAGAGAGTAAAGTCTTACGAACCCTTGACTTTTATGGAATTATGAAAAATGCGAACATTAGGTTGCGTTTAGTTACGGAAAAACAGTTTTCATTTTCTGTTTTTCGTTTTCCCTTTTCAGTTTTCGTTTTCCATTTTCGGTTTTCATTAGAAAATTTAGAAAACGTTTTTAGTTAAAACTTATTCATTTTTCATTTTCAGTTTTAGAAAATTAGAAAACGTGTTTAGATGTATATATTTTTCTATCGGTTTTCATTTTTAGAAAACGGTAGTGGTGGTAGGGTGGGCGTGGGGACGGTGGCGGTGGTGGGGGCAACGGCGGGGGGCAGTGGTGGTGTTATTGATGGCGACGGTAGTGGTGGTGGTGGTGGTGATGACAGGCGATGGTTGTGGGGGTGCGGGTGGGCTTGTGGGTGTTAAGGTGAGGGAAGGTAGAGGTGGAAGGGGTTGAGAGTGGGTGTTTATATTTTAGAAAAATTTTGGAATTAGAAAAATGTGGAAAACAATGATTATCGGTTTTCCAAAAATTTCCAACTTCTTTGTAATTTTAGAAAACGGAAAATTTTCATTTTCCGTGAAAAATTTAGAAAAATAGACGAACTAAACGCGTTTTCAAAATTCTCTTTTTTCTTGGAAAATTTTTCCGGAAAACGACTCATTTTTCCGCAACGAAACGCACCCTTAGGGTGCGTTTGGTTGTGGAAAACTGTTTTCATTTTCTATGAAAATGTTTTCAGAAAATAGGGTTGAGTTTTCATTTTCAAATTTCAATGAAAATGCATTTGGTTGGAATGGGTAGAGTTTTCATTTTTCATCTTAGAAATTTGGAAAACTTTGGAAAACTGTAAAAATCTCTTTTCTAATTTACATACAATTTAGAAAACTGAAAATTTTCATTTTCTTAGAAAACTTTGGAAAACTGAACGAACCAAACGCGTTTTCAAATTTTCCATTTTTCTTGGAAAATTTTCCTAGAAAACTGGAAAATTTTCTACAACCAAACGCATCCTTAATTTCTTATTTTGGATGATCCAATTAGGCATCTCGAGAACACGGCATCGATCATCCAAGCTCTGGTAGCGTTCAAACGTTTGCATCCAAAACATAGGGAGAAAGAAATAGAAAATGTTGTGTCAAAAGCAGTGCGTTTTCTTGAGAAAAGACAACGCCCTGATGGTTCATGGTAAGCGATATATTCACCTCTATCATTAATTCTTGACAACGAACAACTAGGACTAAGTTGATATAAAAATTCATGAAACCTGATATATAGGTATGGCTACTGGGGGATATGTTTTCTATATGGCACGTGCTTTGTTCTAAGAGGCTTAGAAGCCGCTGGAAAGACATATGACAACTGTGAAGCAGTTCGTAAAGGAGTCAAGTTTTTGCTTTCAACACAAAATGAAGAGGGTGGATGGGGAGAAAGCTACAAGTCTTGTACTAGAGAAGTATACACACCTTTGTTTGCAAATCGGACAAACCTAGTTCAAACTTCATGGGCCATGCTTGGTCTCATGTCAGCTGGACAAGTTAGTTCTGTGTTATCACTGAACCTTATATTCTAGCAAAAGTTATTACTTTTTATTGTCTAAAAGCCTTCATTTCTGCCAAACGATCACTAGGTTGAACGAGACCTAACACCGTTACATAAAGCAGCAAAACTGTTGATCAATGCACAAATGGACAATGGAGATTTTCCTCAGCAGGTAACTTTTAATCTTAATTGCTACAATTGGTGAAGTGATCGTTGCTATTAAACATTGACAAGATTTGGTAGGAGTTCACTGGAGTCTCCATGAAGAATTGCATGCTGCATTATCCGCTATACAGGAATATCTTCCCATTACTAGCACTTGGAGAATATCGTAGACATATTTGGGCTTGCTAAAATATTAAAGTCATCACTGAAGTTCAAAACATGAATAATGGGACTATAAAATTGTGTGCACATGACTACCCAATCTCCAAAAATTAACGTACTCTAGTGTGATATATTTGTTACTCTGTAATAATAATAATAATAATAATAATAATAATAATAATAATAATAACATCTAGTATGATAAATAATGAAATGTGTGTGAGAATGTTTGAGTTCCAAGTTAATGTTCTATTAAAGCCAACAGTGATACAGATCAGTCATATTATAGTCTCTCAAACTGCAAGAATGGAAGAGAATGCTTGAGTCCCGGTTATTGGTCTATTACATCAATAACGGGAAAAGAGCAATCAACATCTTAGATTGGGCTGCTTGACTATGTCTATTAACAATCACTCCCAATCAATCTTAAATTAAATTATTAGTTTCTTACTAATCCACCTACACAGTCAAACTGAGTCAGAGGCTGAAGTCTACATGTAACTGAAACTCATAAAAACATCAAATTGATCTATCATTCTTGCCACTTTGATACAAAAAATCATACAAAAATCGATTCAATGAACATTTAAATTGAACATACTGATGGATGCGTCCATCGAGGGGTATATGGAACCATCCATGGAGGGGTCGATTAAACGAATGAATCAATTGAAGGGTAAATCGATTTCACAAGTCCACTTCATTAAGGATATGATTTCAACAGAATCGGTTGAAAACTTAATACGAACCTGTCGATTTTAGGAGTCCACTTCATTTGTTTTCTGTCAATTTCTTAGAGCTACGACTAGAGGAGGCGCCTATATAGGGTTGGCATCACCGAGAGGAGTCGCCGGAGATGGAGAAGGTATATCCAACATGTCATTCACTTCATACCTGTCGATTTTGGTTGAGTGAATGAGAAACGGGATCAGCCAAGTTAGGGGTCAACCGATGGAGATGGAGAAGGTCGTCTGGCTTTCTAATGATAACGGACTGATCAATTCGATTTCAGAACCTTAGTGTTGGTGATTTTAGTGTACTGTGATTTCAGTGTCACTCATTTTATGTAACTGAAATTAGGGGTGAGCAAAAACCAAATCGCAAACAGAAAAAACCGCATTAACCGAAACCGAAACAAAAACCGATGTTGCAGTTTTAGATTTACAAAAAACCGAAAACGTTCGATGCGGTGCGGTTTTTAGTTTTGCAAAAACCACAGAAAACCGAACCGCACCGCATATATATAATTTTAACTCCTTATATATGTATATATATATATATATATATATATATATATATATATGCTTCATTTAGTTTATTTATTCTAAAATGATAAGTATCTCAAACTAATCAATGTATAAATTCTCTTGATGAATAATTCATAACATATTTTATCTTGAAGCATAGTGTAACGCCCGTAGATCAGGGCTAGTCAATTTAGAGACAATGAGCATCAAAAATGACTTTTTGATAGAAGATTATTTAGAATGAATAATCTTAACTAAGTTGTAGTGGTCGTCACAAGGATTCCGGATATATAAAGAATGTCGAAATCCGAGTTATAACGAAGAAGTTATGACCTGTCGAAGTTTCGTGACAGAACCGACATGACACAGCGCGACGTAAATAGTGAAATTACGTTATAGCGATATTTGGCCTTATCGATCTAAATGAAAGTCGTAGAATACGTTAAACCGAGAGCGTGCATAAAAAGAACGTCCAAATCTGACTTCGTATGAGGAAGTTATGATTTTTCTAAGTTTCAGCTTAGCAGTATGCAGCCCGAAGTTGGAATATGAGATCGAGGGATTTCTAGCCGAAACAATCTAAACGAGAATCGAAGATCTCGTCGATAGTAGTTCAACGGTAAAAAGACAGACGAAAATGGACGTCGGATGAAGAAGTTATGAGTTTATAACGGAGTTTTCCTGTCCCGGCCTACTAAAAATAATATAATAAAAATTAAGTTCAAAAGTAACCGACGGAGTCTAAACGAAAGTTGTAGAGCATAATCTCGCCTACGCGTGGATATAAAGAACGTCGAAAACGGAGCTCGTATGCAAAAGTTATGAATTTCTAAAGTTCGGGGCGCGAACCCCAACAATATGTCAGAGTTCACGACGTGAACTCAATGCTGACGTCTTCTGGAGCCTGACAGACTGAACATCGCAACTACGCACCTGATGACGTCCAAGGCCACGACGTGAAATGATGGTTCACGACGTGAAAACTAAATTTTCAGCCCTATAAATAGAAATTGAAGGCAGCCGGTTTTGGTTACTAATTTCTCAACCTCTCTCCTACTCTACTCATCTTTAAGCCATCTTTTAGCCCCCCGAAGCCCCGGTATCATCCCCGATACCCGAAGCGAGTCCCGACGCTCCGAAGATCCCGAGAAGAAAAGAGTTTCAAGCCGAAGCTCTGCCCGCGAGAAGCCCGGTGTGTGAAGATATCCCAGTTTCACCAAAGAATAGTACTTGAAGAGTCGTAGTGCTGTCCGAGCATCGTCTAATCAAGTGAGTGTATAGTTACTTTCTTCTAACACATAAATATGAAGTGTTTTCCATGAAATACGTGCTATGTGTTATATATATTGTTTGTGTATTTGAGATGGGTGTGGGTTTGATGTTTTATACAGGTTTTAAATGATTTAAACTGTATATGTATTTTATATCTACGAAAATGTTGGGTAGAACAGGGGTAGATGAAATAGTTGGTGTGTGATGAAAGATGGTATGAGTAAACTTTGGCGACTATGCGATGTAGTGCCTATTGAGTAAACCCTGGCGACTTTGCGACGTAGTGTCTATTGTATAAACCCTGGCGACTATGTGACGTAGTGCCTATTGAGTAAACCCTAGCGACTATGCGACGTAGTGCCTATTGAGTAAACCATGGCGACTATGAGAAGTAGCGCCTATTGTAAAAACCCTGGCGACTATGACACGTAGTGCCTGTCGTGTGAACCTTGGTAGCAATGGACTTTAGATAAATTCCTTAGGTCAATTCTTAGGAATGAATGGATGAAGGATAGTTGATTCTTAGGGTAAATCCTTAAGAAATAAAGGAGATATGGGGATGGGTAATTGGGTTGATTGTTTGATGATTGAATATAATAATTGTATTATTGTGGGTTGAAAACCCTATATGCTCACCAGGCTCCCAAGTCTGGCCCATTCAGTTTTCTTTGTATTACAGGTAGTGGATCAAGAGCATAAGTTGGTTGACATGACGAGAGATTATGGATTATAGGCCAGTAGTTATAAATAACTGATGTAAGGTCTATTATGTTCTGTTTATGCTTTTGGTCTGTATCGGAACATGACATCCCGAGATTTTGTTATTTAATGAAAATCCATTTCTTCAAGAAAAGTTTTGATAGATTCTTATCATATTTTGTTTTAGGAACAAATTCCGCAACACCTTTTGAAAGATTACTCTGATTTTATTTTAAAAAGCATAAACAAAATCGGTCTTTTCTGGCCGTGAAATTGGGGATGTCACACATAGCTATGATTAAAAGCATAAAACAAATTAAGAAAGAGGATTATGTGTAATTATTTAATTACGTGATGTATATATGTTTGTGTAAATAATTAAAAAAACATAAATAATATAGATAAGGGGAAAAAATAATGAAAGAAGAATGATTTCTAGCATTTAGGTTGGGAATTTGTCCCACATCACGGGTGAATGAATATAAAGGGTGGATGATTTATTATAAATAGCTCCATATATGCGCATCACTTGAGTGATGCATGAAGCATGGTTTAGGCTGCAACCAGTTGGTCCTAGTGAACCACATGCTTTCTTTAGTTGAATTAGAAAATTAGTGACTGAGTTGAAAAATAAAATCGAACAAAATGGTGATTATTTGTAACAAAAGTCTAGAAATAAATGAAAGATAACAAAATTATTTATAATTTTAAATTATATTCAACAAAAATCTGATCTAGATAATAAAAACCGCACCATTTTGACTTCAAAACCGCACCAACTCATTTTGTGGTTAAAAACCGAAACCGAACCGAAATAACCGCAAAACCGAACCGCATAAAAACCGCAAATTTCGGTTTTCCAATTTAAATAACCACAAATGCGGTTTGCGGTTGCGGTTTGGTCCAAAAACCATACCGAACTGTACCATGGTCACCCCTAACTAGAATTAACATGTGAGCTAAGGGGCTTCATAATTTGTACTCTAATATATGTACGGGTTTGTGCGGAGTGCACGTATGCATAAGATCGAATTAGAAGTCGGTTCGACGACAAGTCGTGGGTCCGGGGGCAGCGCCCCTAGGTCCGGGGTTTCCAAAAGGGTGGCGCCCCTTTAGCGGGGTCTAGGGGCAGCGCCCCTAGCGGGGTCCAAGGGGCAGAGCCCCTGGGGTCCCTTAGATGTCTTTGATAAATTCAAAATATACAAAACCGAGGTGGAATTGAAATTGGGCATTCCGGTTAAATGTCTTAGGACTGATAGGTGAGTTGAATATATGGATCCCATATACTTCCAATCAGTGTGTATCATTCATGAGACCACGACACCTTACACACCCCAACAGAATGGTATTGTTGAACACAAAAATCGAGTTTTAAAGGAAATGGTAAACTAGATGTTGTCATACTCGGGATCGAGTGAAGGATTATGGGGAGAGGCCATGTTAACGTCTTGCTATTTATTAAATAGGGTTCCAAATAAAAGGAACAAAACAATCCCATATGAACTTTGGTTCAAGAAAAAACCAAATTTGAGTTATTTTCGGGTTTGGGGATGTCGGGCAGTTGTAAAACTCACCGAGCCCAAAAAGAAAATTTTGGGAGAACGTGGAATTGATTGCATATTCATTGGATATGTTGAACATTCCCAGGCATATAGGTTTTATGTAATAGAACCTAATGATTCGATTTCAATTAACAATATTATCGAATCACGGGATGCAATTTTTGATGAGATGCGTTTTTCATCGATCCAAAGGCCTAAGGATCTGACTTTTGGTACTACTAAAGTGCAAAATTCAGAAAGTCAAGATGATGGTAATGTACAAGAACCACAAGAGCTTCGTAGAAGCAAATGAGGCCAATTTGCGAAAATTTCGGATCCGACTTCCAACTGTATTTGGTGGAAGGTTCAAG